TCTAGATTTATCCATTTAAACTTATTTGATAAGTTGTTCAATTTAGAATTCAAATTAATTTAAGTTTGACTTAAATTGGAATTTGAATTTGAGTCAAAATTGGACTACAGGATAAAGGATGATTTTCTCTTCCTTTCCTATCCAGTATTGGCGCCACACACAGGGATAGGAATCCCTAGCATGGCCGGCCACAAGGGATAAGGGATAGAGGAGAATTTTAGTTCGAAATTCAAATTGGAGATAGAGATTGGATTCTTTCTAGAAGTTTGACTTCTACTCTATAAATACTATTTTTGAGACAATTTTCGGAATGATTTTTTGCCCTAATTTTAGAGGTAGCCGAAATTTCTCTATAGAAATTTTGGAAACAATTTTTCAGCCCTAAGAGTTAAGGCTGGCCGAAATTCTCAAGATAGAAAGGAAAGAAAAATTTTTTCTCTAAAAATTCCACATCGTGCATGTGATGGTGTTTGTGGAAATTCGAGTGTTTATTGTAACCCGTTTTGTCTCATGTGTGCCCACACACACGTCTTCGTGGATTCTAGGAATTGACGTGGAAGACATTGGTTTTCTAAACACAAAGATTGGAGCAAGGACTGTTCGTGGTCAAAGAACTCAAGTTATCATCCGAGTCAGCTTCCAGGTATTTTTCCTGATTGAGTTCTTGATATATATATATAAGTTAATGAGATTAATTTATTCGTGTATAAATTAATATAATCTATAGAGTATCTCAAAAGTTTTATGAAAATTTTTGTTATACACGATCCGCCTCTTCCCCGCACCACCACGCTTCCGCAGCCGGATTCGATTCGGCAACCAACACCTACGACCCAAATGGGTGGACCTACGACCCAAATGGGGGGACCTACGATCGAAATGGGGGACCTACGACCTAAATAGGGGGACCTATGACCCCAAATGGGGGACCTACAACCCAAAGGGGGGACCTACGATCGAAAGGGGGGATGTACGACCCCAAAGGGGGGACCTACGACCCAAAGGAGGGGACCTATGACCCTAAAATGAGGGGGACTTACCTACGACCCAAAGGTGTGGACCTATGACCTAAAAAGGGGACCTACGATCCAAAGGGGAGGGACCTACGACCCCAAGGGGGAGACCTAGGGGGGACGTACGACCCAAATGGGTGGACCTACGACCTAAAGTGGGGGACGTACGACCCAAATGGGGGGACCTACGACCCAAAGGAGGGAACCTACGACCTAAAAGGGGGGACCTATGACCCTAAAATAGGGGACCTACGACCCAAAGGTGGTGACCTACGACCTAAAGGGTGGACCTACGACCCAAAGGGGAGGGACCTACGATCCAAAGGGGGGGACCTACGACCCTAAAGTGGGGGACCTACGACCCAAAGTGGGGGACCTACGATCTAAAGTGGGGGGCCTATGACCCCAAAGGGGGGGACCTACAATTGAAAGGGGGGGGGGGGCGGCACGAGACGGGTGGCCGCGCCGGGTGCGGGGGGGGGGACGTACAACCCAAATGGGGGGACCTATGACCCTAAAGTAAGGGACCTACGACCCAAATGGGGGGACCTACGATCGAAAAGGGGTGACCTACGACCCAAAGGGGGGGACCTACGACCCAAAGGGGGGACCTACGAGCCAAATGGGGGACCTACGACCCGAAAGTGGGGGACTGGTTATGCCCAAACGTGTACAAAAATAAGCGGTCAATTATAGTACAATTAGGACCGTCGATCCCACGAGGAGGTAATAAAATCAAACAAAAGAAATTAGTAGAACAAAAGTGTTAGATAAGTAAGCAATCAAGCAAAGAAAAGAAAATAGTGTTTTTGTTGTTTTAGAGCAATTTTATTTCAAGATAATGCAATTTAAAATGGAGAAAATTCAATAATAAAAAGTAGTAAGGCATTGAGAATCCTCCATATGCTTTGTTCACCTATTTAGATTTTGATTCATAAATTGACTCAATTGAAAGTTTCACATCCCAAACAATTAATCGGAAAATAAATATTTGAAGAACATATGAATTAAAAATGTATTCGAGATAATAAAATTCTAATGTTTGGAACTTGGAAAAATTATCTTATGAGAAATCTAAAAGCGACAATATACCGTTGGTAATATTGCAGTAAAAGATTACTCATAAAACAATACCTACCCATTTATAATATCATGCAACAATCACATAAAAAGAGCTTGACTAGATTTATATAAAAGTTGATAATAAAATATATTGATAAGAGGAAGAAATATGATAAAAGAAAACTATTTACTCAAATTTATAAAACTTACAAACCATTGGAGAATCAAAATCTAAACAAACTCACTACACATATAGGATCATCTCTAGCCTCACCTAAAAACTCTAGCCTAACTTGCACATAATTCTCATAAAATTCTAAAAAGAAAGTATGAGAATAAGAACAAGACAATAAAAGAAAAAGTGTAAGAATCTAGGCTCAAAATCAACAACCTAACATACATAACAAATGCCCTATTTATAGCGTTTCTGGCCATGTCAAGAGTTGCAATTAGCAACAAGAAGAAAACGAACGTATTCCAATTAAATTGGAATTTACAATGCTTTATTTTGGGAGTAAAGGCTGATAATGGTGGAGCAAGAACCATCAGAAACGTTTAAAATCGGAAAAATTGAGGAGTGCAACAGCTAGTACACGTGGCGCGCGCTGAGAGGAAACGTTGTTGTGCATGGGACACGTGGCCGATGCGGATTCGCAGAGTGGATAAGTTTTGCACAGCTGGAGCCTTGCGGAAGAAAGCCTGACGCGCGCGTGGAAAGAACCCGCCCAGGGGGAAGGAGTTACGCGCGTGAGTGAGGGAGCATCTGGGTCCCACGGGACGCGTGGCGGGAGCCGGTTGGAGAACTTCTGGACTGCGGGATCCACGCGGTAGAGGATAAAAAATTGGTTGATGCACGCGTCGAAGAGACTCGCGCAGAGGGAAGGACATGTGCACCAAGTGCGCGTGTGTACGGGGACAGCTGGGTCCCACGCGGCAGAAGTGTGCCAGAAAACGACACGTGGCAGCGCTAGTAGGGCTCGCACGGCTCGGTTGGCTCGGCTCGGCTGACGACTGCTGATGGGCTTCATTTTCATTTTCTTTTAGTTTTGGTCCAAATGTCTTATTTTCTTACAAAATAAATATAATTAAATTAATTAAATACTTCCACAAAAAATTAATTCCATGAAAATATTTAATTAAAACCCAATTTATTTAACAATTATGAACAATTTAAGTGCATTTTTATACACTTATCAGGGACCTACGACCCAAAGGGGAGGACCTACGACCCAAAGAGGAGGACTTACGACCCAAAGGGGGGACCTACGGCCCAAAGGGGGGACCGACAACCCAAAGAAGGGGACCTACGACCCAAAGGGGGACCTACGACTTAAATAGGGGGACCTACGAGCCAAATAGGGGGACCTACGACCCAAAAGGGGGACCTAAGACCTAAGGGGGGAATTACGACCCAAAGGGGGGGACCTACAACCCAAAGGTGGGGACCTACGACCCAATGGGGGGGACCTACGACCCAGAGGGGGGACCTACGAAACGACCTAAAGTGGGGGACCTACGACCCAACGGGGGAGACCTACGACCCAAAAGGGTGGACCTACGACCCAAAAGGGGGGACCTACGACCCAAAGCGGGGGACCTAGGACTTAAAGGGGGGAACCTACAACCCAAAGGTGGCGGGACATACGACCCAAATGGGGGGACCTACGACACAAAGGCGGGGACCTACGTCCCGAATGGGGGACCTACGACCTAATGGGGGGGACCTACGACCCAAATGGGGGGACCTACGTCCCAAAGTAGGGGACGTACGACCCAAAGGAGTTGGTGTCGTGGCGTGTCGACTGGCTTTACCCCCTGAACTATCTCACGTGCATGACGTGTTTCTCGTCTCGATGCTTGACAAATGTAAACCTATTCCGGAAGCTATAATGCAATGGTATGACGTTCCGATACAGTATGACGCGACATACGAAGAGGCACCGGTTCAGATTCTTGATCGGAAGCTGAAGAGTTTGCGTCATCGTGAGATTCAACTAGTGAAAGTGACGTGGCAGCACCATGGAGTTGAGGATGCAACATGGGAGCTTGAGATAACGATGCAGGAGTGGTACCCGCATCTGTTTTCACTGTGAGGTAAGTCCTAATTTCAAGGACGAAATTCCTTAAGGGGGAAAAGTTATAACACCCTGAAGAATTAAGTGAGATTAATTAAGAAAATTGAGATTTATTAGTGTGCCTAATCTGGTTTCATAAATTAATTATTGTTTAATAAATGTTTCTGACGTGTAAATTTAAATAATTTCAAGGTATTTGAATATTCTCAGTAATTATATTTTATTCCAGAAGTGTGTGTGGACACATTTCTGAAACTGTCATTTTAAATATTCTGACGCTTGTTTTCTTTTTTTTTTATTTTCTTTTTTTCTTCTTTTCCTTTTTCCTTCCCGTGCAACTCTCTCTCTCTCTCTCTCTCACTCTCTCACTCTCACTCTCTCTTTCTCTCTCATTTTCTCTCATAAATCAACCGGATTTTGAACCAAAGAAGAATTTCAAGAAGTTTTCAACGCCAAAAGAAGGATTCAAGGTAAGATTTCTGAAAAACCTCTCTTGAATCTTAAGATTTTCGTATTTAAAAACTTATTTCTTGGTTCGAAATAGATTTGATGGATTTTGAGTAAAACTATGGTAGAAATTGGAGATCTTGGGTTATTTGGACTTGATTTAGTATGTAGAACCCGGATCTAGTGGTTTTCCTTTGAGATATTTTGGATTTGAACTTGAAATTGCAGGTTTTGCACTGATTTTCTTCAGATCGGTCCTTCTGGCCATCTTGCACTAATTCCACCGGTCGACCGGATTTCACTACAACAGGTCAACCTGTGCGGTCGACCGAAGTGCACACCACCGGTCGACCGGTGGTGTTGCACTGCATTGTCACTAGTCGACCGGTGTACACGGGGTTTAACCCTGTTTTGCTTGAAACCCCATGTTTTGACCCTGATTTTTTAGGAGAACCCAAATTAGCTTCATTTGGGGACCTAGAGTGAATGGATTAGCATCTTTAATCCATGTTTTGGAATTAAAACCCTTGGAATGATGATTTGAAACATGAAATCATTTATGAAACCGGTAATTGAATTATGGCAGACTAATAGGAAATCAAAGAAAAAAATTGAGACTGAATTGCTTTAAGAATGATAATTGGATCCTAAAGTATGGTTTTGTATCAGTGCTAGCTGAGGACTCAGATTGAGGGGCTTGAGGAAGCGAAAGCCGGAATAGAGCAACGCTAGCCAGGTTTGGTATTTGAGAGGTAGGATTTCTTACCCTTTCCCTTGTGAGCCTGTTTTCAAAAGAATTTTGGCATTGCAAATATTTTAAAGAAATGGCATGTTTGCAGAAGAAAAACATTTTAACCCCCATGGCTTGTTGTAGTTCTGGGGAGTATAATGAACTGTTTCATAAATTTTAATGAATGATTTTTTAAGACAAGAGATCTTACGAATCGGTAAACCGGCTAATGGCCTAGATAGGATGTGAAGAGTGCATCCTTGGGGGCAGGACCGGAAATCCGATCCAGGGGTGATAGGCTTATGCATGTGGTTGTGTAAGTAATTTATCATAGAGTAAATTACTTGCTGATGCCTGTAATACGGTGATTTTCAGTTATATTTCCTTTGAGAAAAAGGATGTGAGGTTCCGGCTGTTGTGTTAGAACTGAATGTCCATATTTATTTCATTGTTTAATTATTTACTCATTTACTAATTTATTTATTTATTCATTTATAAATTTATTTCAAAATATATCATACTGGGCCTTTCGCTCACGTTTTATTATTTTATAAATGTTAAACCCCTCCCAGGTGACTCTAGAAGCAGTGCGGAGTAGCTAAGTTGCTACCACCTGGTTTGGAGAAGATTGTGATCATCATCCCTGAGTACGAATGTAAGAATTTTTAAATTCTGTAAACTCTGATATTTGAATTTCTAGACTGTGGTTGATGTTTGTAACGTTATTTACATGTTCATGTATGTACAATACTGAAGATCCTGTGGGTAGTTCCTGTGGGTGTAGCCCTGAACAGTGTTAGAGGCTTGAGTTTTAGTCTCTTTCTTGGAATTTACTTTTCAATTAAACGGGAGGCTTGTTTAGGAATTTCTTTAATATTTTACTTTAATCGTGTTTAACTCATAATTGAGCCTCCACGTCACCGACCCCCGCCCGGGGCGTGACAGGGACCTACAACCCAAAGGGGGGGACCAACGACCTAAAGGGGGGGCCTGCGACCCAAAGGGGGGGACCTACGACCCAAGGGGGGACCTACGACCCAAACGGGTAGACCTACGACCAAAAGGGGGAGACCTACGACCCAAAAGGGGGGACCTACGACTCAAAGGGGGAGACCTACGACCCAATAGAGAGGACCTACGACTCAAAGGGGGAGACCTACAACCCAATAGAGGGGACCTACGATCCAAAGGGATGACCTACGACCTAAAGGAGAGACTTACGACCCAAAGAGATAGTATTTACTCTTAAGTTAAAGAAGACATGTCGTCATACCGCATGATAGCGAATAAAATGTCACAAGGGTATAATAGCTAGAAAAATGCACATTGCGTAGTTGGTTATAATTAAAAAGCAAAAGAGAAAGAAAACAAAAAACCAATGAGTTGGTAATACAGAAAATAACTCGATCCGTCTTCTTTTCTTTTATAATTGCACGATCACGAAGGACTAGATTACTAACGCTTAAAAAAAAAACATAAAAATCACTGGACATTAGAAGACGACTAGAGTTGATATTAGCAAAAAGAGTAACATGGTAATTAATTCAATATTGATTTATTAATTGATATATGACAAATTAATTCACTTTATTTACATGCATTGTGCTTTTTCTAACTTGCTCTTTAGTGGGTCATAATTCTCTGAGCTCTCTCCTCTCAAATAATAATAATAATAATAATAATAATAATAACAATAATAACAATAATAATTATTATAATAATAATAAATTCTCCGGACTACTAATCTGAAAGGGGGAGAAAAGAGCACCTACCTAATTTTTTTATTTATTTTGTAGAACGTGACCTAATTTAGTTTATACAACTCAATTCTATGATCCATTTCCTTTGGGTATCCTCGTCACAAGAAATTCACAAGTAAAACTCAAAACAGACCTAAAAGGATAAACATCACCAAGAAAGTCATCTAAAATCCAGATTCCAATACCAAAAGCTTATATGGCACTCAAATGATTCCAAGTGAGGTGTCTTCCTTTTTTTCTTTTTTTCTTTTTTTTTTTTTTTTTTGTCTGAACAGCAGAATGAGATATGACGAACGGATTGGCGGACTTCTTCAGAGAGCAATGTAATGCCAACCAATTGTTACAAGTTTTCACATAAAAGATTGCAATCTCCTAGTTTTATTTATGGAAGGAAAAGACAGGAAAACTCCTCCAAAACTCAAAAATAGAAAAATCTACCATAAAGCAGAAGGCAATGCAGATTTAACTATAACAGTTCAGCACAGGTCACTTTGGAATTTTATTGTAGAAACAAGGACAGGAAGTTATTTCATCACATTCGAGAGCAGGTGAAGTTTAAGACTGACCCTCGCTCTTGCGTTTGTTTTCCCACCACTCGAAGAACTTAACTTGCGCAGCCACGGTGTCCAATTTGTAGAGTTGGAATGCATGATTTGCGATTTCTGCTCCAATCGTATAACCGAAGATACCTCCACCTATGAAGGACAATGCAGTACCTGCCAAATGCAGAATTGGCGTTAAGGAACTTCAAATTTTTGGTCCATTCATACCAGACTCTTCATATTTTCCGCCAAACCGTTGAAAATTCCCACACTTCATTCAGATCTCATCGAACCATATCAGTAATAGATTTATCACACAAACACAGCACAAAAACATTTCGTTCCTCTATGTTAATGACCTCGAGACTGCAGGAGAATCGCAGGCCTTTGAAGTATAGCGTGCAAATGACATTCCAAATACACTGGTTTTGATATGGTCACGTAAAGTATAAAGATCTCATAAGTTTTTAGCACTTCCAATTTTCTATTTGCTCTGCAGGAGAAAAGGAGAGGAGCTGCATGTGCCTTGTAAAGTCGAAATTGGAATTCTGGGCTCTGTTAGGTACCAACACAGATTTACTAGATAAACAAGAGACACAGAGAAAATAACTTGAAAATGGGTCAAGCTCCTTTTATTTATCTCCCATACATCTCTCTAAAGAGAGGAATTCCATTACACAGTTAGGCAAGTAAATAGAAAAGAACAATGGAGAATTCCAGGTTCCCCTTCCTCCCAAATGGTCTGCTATCAGTATTTTCCCAATCAACAGACAACCCCACACACACACCCACATCCCACTCCTTAAATATTCCCTCTGCTAACAAACTTGTAACCAACTTGCCACCTCAGCACCCATTTTCCATATTTACACTTCCATCCCCAATTCCCTGAAAAATCCCCCATCGGCCCCTCTTCCTAGAATAAACCAACGTAACAGGTGGTCTAACAAGCTCAAAGGTACCTAAGACGCTTATAAACTATCATCCTCACTCGTCTCTTAGTAAATATGGGATATAGTCAACAGGACATGAGGACGAACATTCTTTTCAAAATGCAGCACAATATGGTAAGTGCTATTAAAAATGCAACGGATGTCCCTTTTGTCAACAAACTAGGAATTCAGATTTACAAGTACCATATGTCTGTTATTGTCAACTTTCATTTTGTACAACTGACTGGGTTTGAAGATCCATTACACACATTAATACTACAAGTACTGCAGCTGTAAACATTTCCAAATCTTATCATAAAACTGAGATTTATACTGCCAATACAACAATTCTAATTATAATTGAACTTATCATTCCAAATGCTACATCATTTTGTTAAGACATTTTCAAAACCAAAAAAATAATAATAATAACATTAAGACATTTCAAAACCCAAAAAAAAAATAATAATAATAACATTAAGACATTTCAAAACCCAAAAAAAAAATAATAATAATAACAGGAGATGTAAATAAAAACCTTGGGAGAAAAAAAAAACATCTTGTGGAATAGCATAAGAGCAAGAAAAAAAATGGAAATTATTCATTTTCATTCAATTTGAGAAGCAAAACATAAAGCACAAGAAGAGTCTTGATCAAGTCATAAAGAATATTGCATCGCAAAGCAATCTTAGAAGTATGGAGGGGCAAGACACGGAAATATTACCATGCAAACTCCTTGAATACTTCCAGGTAACTCCCGCGGTTGAAACTGCTCCAATAACACTTCCTGCAAGACCATATTTTGATGTTTCTTTTGCAGCCTTCAGCTGTAAAAGGGGGAAAAAGGATCAGGAAATCCTAGTGGAGGTTTCATTGTACAAAGACTTATTAACTAGATTCAGGATGAGAATTGCCTTAGCAGATATTTGCTCTCTGAAGTGAGCTCAAGATATGACTTTCTAAACCGAAATATAAAATACAATTACCATATCAAAATATCTTTTGACCAAATTAACATAAACTAAAGACTGGTAAACAATATTCTTGTTGTACTCGTGGGCTTCTCATTCTTGTTTGGAACACCAAATTAAAGCAGTTAATTGCTCTTTGAACCAGATTGGCGACAGTAAAGACCGGTCTATGATTTTCACTTTCAGTTGAGCACTAATTGTTCTTGTTTTGAACATGAAACTAAAGCAGTTGATAATATAACGAAAAAGAATTTATTAATGCTTTGGAAGAAAATAAGAGAAGGCAGACACCAGGAAAGCAACGTCCCAAAATGTCAACTTAAAAACAACCACTTGTAAATTCAAGGAAAAGTTGTAGTTTGTTCGTAATCGTTCAATAATCTCAATTTCAGAACTGAAACGAAGTAAACAAGAATTATCCAACATTTCTGTAGATTTGTGAACAGATCCTCTTGAACTAAAAGACTTGATGTCGAAGAAGAAAGATGTGTGTATGTAAAGAAGATGATCTAAAAAGTCACTTGTGACAAAACCAACTTTAGCAGAGAACAGAGATTTCCATATGGCATTGGCATGTGACAACAGGAAAAGCAGAAACTTAATTGCTATGAAGCGATTTCAAATTTGCTGAAGAACTCAAGTAAATTATTAGCTTGAATTGCAGGAGACATTTCTTACTTTACTTTGATTCGAAAACCAAACTGGATACCAGCAGGGTAACCTCTATGATTCGAAAAGTACGGAACCAACGAACAAAATTATAAATTGCAAATTTCAAATGTTGAACCCATTGGTAAGTTCTTACTAAGGAAGGCTAAGAAGTTCTATGGTTACTTCCTTCATTTATGAAATAAGAGGATCCGCTGATTGAATGCTTAAGAAAACAACTTTTTTTTCTCCCCACTCCGATGAGTTTCTACCCCTCGGGTGAATTAGAGGAATACCAATTCAGAGTTGGGATTCGAACATACTATTTTTAAGGAAAAATTAAGCCTAATTTTCACATCAAAGTGGTTGAGGTGAATAACTAGACTTCAAAAGTGATACCTATCTTAACGTTATAGCAGTTATAATTTACAAAAGAACATGCCTCAGCATGACAAATGAAACCCAACATAAATCTTAATCATTATATTCAATCTTTTTCTATACCAGCAAAATGCTAACAGACCAACCACAAGACAAAAATTTGGATCTGATTTTTTAAGAATTAAACTAAACCATCACAACAAATGGGAAACGGTATAAACAAAACCAAACGGAAAATAGTCCATCAATATTACAGCAGACAAAAAAAAAAAAGACCTTGTTCAAAAAAAGGGCAAATTATGAAAAAGAAAAAAAAAAAAGACCTACCCAGATGAATAATATCATCTCAAACTAGAATCTATAAGCATCTCATCAAAAGGATTTGATTTCAAAAAATTGGCTCAGTCCCAAGAAACCAAATCAATAGAGTAGCAATATATAGATCAATAGATTTTGAGAAAACACCAAATTTTGAAAAAAAAAAAAAAAATCCTCACAGTGGGGCCATGGACGGGATCAGAAGCAATGAACTCTTCGACATCGGAGGAGGACCAGGAAGGAAGGGGTTCGTTGCGGTTGAGGAACCTGGAATAGTTGTCGAGGAACGAATACCTGTCGGCCAAGAAATCCTTGAAGCATTCCCGAGTACTCTTGAAGGACGATTGCGATGACGAACCATCCGCCATTTTTGTTCTTCTTCTACTCCGAAAGCAGATTGGGATTAGAAAAGCTCCTTCAACTACTCTTTTCTTCTTGGCTCGGCGTCGCGCTGCTTGAAAATGAGCCCTTTCCTTAGTTTGGTTATTTACAACCATGCCCTTTTTAGAGCAATTAGCACAAATGATACTAAACTTTTTAATATGTGACAATATAGTCTCTTTTTTCTTAACAAAACACTCTTAAACTCTTTAATTAAGTGTAATTTATACCTTTCCGTTTAAAATTAAGTGCAATTTATACCATTCCGTTCATATCCGTTAAATATTTAACAGGTAGATCATGTGCCGTATATGTTATATGATATAGAAGGGTAACATTGTAAAATACTAATTCTTTTAATTTTAACGAGATAAAAGTTTGGAATTAAAAGAAAATTATTGAAAAAAAAAAAAAAAAAAAACTTATGCTAACGAAGCAAATGATGAATCTGCTAGCAATCCCCCGTAAACCAAAACTGGTAGACCACACGACATAAATGCTTCATAATCATGGAGGAATCCCCTAAAAAATAAGCTAAAAAAGATAAATCCTTAACTCAAAACTGGTAGAACAACAAAATAGAGGGAGAAAATGAGTAAAGCTGCAACTCAACAACAAAAAAAAGTTGTAAGAGGGCTAGCAAAAAAAGCAACTCAACAAAATATTCAACCATAAAAAACCCAGAAATATCGAAAAGCCAGAAACACAAATCAAATTCCCATATATCTTCGATCGTCAGTACAAAAACACTGAAAAATAAACTCAACTCAACAAATTTAAACGTAAAACAGAAAATCCAGAAAAATTCCCACATATCTTTGATCGCCAATCAGAGAGTAGTCTTTCTACCGCTCTAAGTTCGAGTTATGTAACCCATTTTGAGACTGAGATGTGATTCATTTGAGTCGTTTTGAAGTGGCCGGACCATGTTATAATGCCACTAGTCGTAGGAGTTCTCTCTGTTATTGGGTAAGAGGCGCGTTTATATTGTCTAGTCATGTGAGTAAGCACATGATTCTTAACTCTGGTTTTGTCCTGTGTCTTAGCCCTTTAGTGGCTTTTTATTAAAATTATGCTATTGTCTTAAAAAAAAAAGGTGTTTTGCCAAGAAAAAAATAATAGGGACCAAACTGTCACCTACTAAAGATGTTAGAGATCATCCATGTCAATTACTCAAAAAAATATTAGAGTCGCACTCAATTTGCACCACGAACTTTTACAACCATACCCTAGAAAATTTTAGAGCCACCTCCATTTTGCCCCACAAACTTTTAGTTTGTTTGATTAGAGGATTGTAGAGGGTTGAACCCAAAATATGATTTATACTCTTATTTAATTGCATAACATTTTAAACTTGAATTTGGGTTTAGGATTAATTTGAACCTAAAATTGAAGGTTAAACTCAACTTTACTCCCTTAAAGTTCTTAAGGTTCTAACCTAATTTATTGTTTAAAACTCAATCCAAAGGTTCCCAACAACTATTTTTTTTTTTTCAAAAACCCATAGTTCTAATAATGTAATTAAATATTGGTTCAAACTTTATTCCCTGTTTAGACCTCATAATGCTAAACGCCAATTCGAACCACAAAAAACCCATATAGGTTCAAACTCATACAATTCAAACCCGCAAAGCGAAATGGACCAAATTAAAAGTTCTCACTAACATCTTAAACTTTAAATGTCCTTTGCCCTTTTCGTTTCATTTTCCGTTAAAACCAGACAAAAAAATAGCATGTACAATTACGTGGAGTGTTCTACGAGGATAAAATAGTAATTGAATTCTAGGTTATTTGCACCCATTCTCCCTAAGCTTTGGAGTTGCCTCCACTTTATCCTCTAAATTTTGAGGTAGTCTAACACTTTGTCCTCCAAACTTTTTCAGAGTTCCTAGTGTTTTTAGCACAATTACCTCCTGAACTTGTCTGGTTTAACAAATTGGCCCCAAACCTTTAGTTTTAACAATCAACCCTCTGAATTTATAAAATTGTTACAATGTGCCTCATTTAACTAAATTTGTTCGGATTTTTTTATTAGATTTAAGGGATTAAAGGTTAAGAAAATGAATCATTTGTGTTAGATTTGAATTGAAATGTTGAAATATTTCGTCGAGCGTGCTTTTTCAATACTAAAGTCTTGTTATTTCATGACTCAAGTAATATTACTACAATATTTTCTTTTACAAAAATTCAAATTTAACTTTTTTGTTACAATATTTTTCTCTCATATACACAACTCAAGTCATAACTTAAATTGTGCATATAAACACACCCTAATTCAACACAATCATCAACAAAATATGAATATTACTATAATTTTATAAATTGAGTTGGTAACTTACTAAAAGTAAAAGTTAGGAGATTTGAAATCTTATCTACCCAAATCCTAAATATTAATCACCACATTTTTTCTTTCTTTTACAAATCTATAGATTAAATTTATACGCTTAATGTTTTCAACTACCCATACAATAATGTCCCTAAAATGCCAAATCCTAGAACTAGATTAATGTGAGTCCAACTCAAGATTGAGTTGTAAAAAAGGAGTCTTCAAGTACAACATTTCAATTGCTGCATTTTTGTAGCATAACACAGCCAAGATTTCAGATGTTGCCAAGAGCTCTTGCTAAAATGCATGTCAATAAACTGAGGTGCTACTCTATGTCTCATTCAGCCATATGAAATTAGAGAAAATAGCATGTCATGTGTTCAAAAATGGTAAGGTCACTTTTTTTTATCACTCTCTGCGTTCACAATTTGACTCTTAGACTCCACTAAAAGTAACAGAAGAGGTTGATGCTAGCATTCTTTTCATGTGTTTTCAAGAGCCTTAAGGCTTGATTATGCCATGATAGAAACAACAAAAAATAGGTAAACTCAGGCCTAGCTAACTACAGGTCCTAAATTTTCCTGGTATGTCCAGAATAATTCGTACACATTATAAATACTAAAAATCAGTCCATGAGAGCAAAACTAGGAGAGTGAAACAGTACAAGTGTGAACTTTGGTACCAAGAGGAACCTAAACTGTAATTCTGATTAAAAAAAGCCGGCGACACTTGTATAAGGTGGTTTCGGCGATTGGCCACGAGGAAAGAAGGGTTTTGAGAATATTGAAGGAGCTACCTCTAGCAATAAGAAAAATGTTTTCCTTTACTGGGAAGATTATTTTGATTCAAGCTAAGTTGTAAACTGCCATGAAAGGCATCAAAACACTCCCCATCCACAATTTCCCATCCCTCTCCTCCACTTCACTAATAGCCCTGACAACCTTCCCTTGACTATCCTCCAATATCTGCAAAAGCTTACCCTCGGGGCTATATTTAGCAATTACTCCGTGTTGCCACCCTCCAATGTGAATCAAGTACTGCAGTTTTGCGGAAACTGGGAACTTGAGTAGGAATTTCCTCAGTTTTGGGTACAATGCATATACATAATTGTTCATGGTCCTGTGGCAGTGGATTGCCACCCAAAATTCACCCTTTTCGTTCGTCCTAACATTGTCAGGAAATCCGGGGAGGATAGCAAATACCTCTGAGGTTCCTGCTTTTTCCCCTTTCAACCAATACCTGCGTAACCTGCATTATCGATAACAAAATGAAATTTCATCCAAATATGATTATTGCCCAACAAAATAAATAGCATACATTTAAATTTGCCCCGGGATTCTGACGAGGCCTATATAACCTTTAGAATACTTACCAGAAGCCTATCTGAACTTTGTAACATTTAATTTTAGCTACTTTAGGTTCTTTTCCCTAGATACTTTTGGCATAAATTAATTGGAAGAGGTTTATTGCCAATGTAGAATTATGGCGCTTGAGAATGAAATTTGATGATTCCTTTGAGGCGCAACTTCTAAGTTGCAGTTCTAAAACTAGGTCATGCACCGAACCAAGTTCTATGACAAGCAGAACAAGCGGTCACATGATGATCTAAAACTGTTTGTTGTATTTCTAGCGTCCATTAAAAGCCATTGAGCCCTCGACTGGTTCTCCAAGTCAACCTAATATATTTGTACAGTAGAAAACTAGCATACATGTCTAACAAAGCAAAAATAGAATGGCATTGATGATGATATGCTTAAGTACCTGCCCAATGATCCCTCACAGAAGAGAAAGAAGGAACCATCCTTGCTTAGGGACAAACCATTTGCAAATTGGACATTCCTCACAAGCACTGTAGTTTCCTTGGTTTTTGGATTGTATTTCAGAACCCTGCCACTATCTTCTCCAGAGAAAACCAACTGCAAGAAGTTCCTGGACGAAACCATCATTTAGAAGTAATGAGACATATTTCTTTTCTGTTCACACGCACAAAAAGAGGAAAGAAGGAAAAAGAAAAGAAGTGAAAAAAAAAAAAAAAAAACAACAACAACAACAACAGAAGAAGAACAATAAAAACACTGGTGTTTGCAAGATAAGGGGCTTGTCAAAATGCCTTCTACTTTGATGACTCAATATAGTGGTCATCTACGGCCTTGGAGAAATTCAAGATTGTGAAGGAAACTGGAGGTAAGATATCACCTACTAGAAAGTTCTGCATAAATGTCGGGAAGAATTGAAGAATAAAAGGAGACACTGAAAGAAAAAGTAAAGGTTGAAAAACGTTTAGGATTCTTAAGTATTTTATCATGAAAATCATTCCAATCTAGACACTTATAAGATTTAAAGTTATTGACAGCTCCAATAGAGGTTGCAAAAGATTTCATGAAAATGAGAAAAAAAACTGTGAGAAAATGTTAAAAAAATGTATAGATACCATCTAAAAGTTTCGGACACGAAAAAAAAATACAGTTTTAAATTTGATTCACTAAAAGAAAGCATGATTCCACATAATTAAGACTTGTGTGAGATTTCTGAAATGTAGCCACATACAATTTCAAACAATCCTATTATCAATAAAATGCAAAACCAAAATAATTTTTGCTGAGAGACTGCACTACTAGCATTTTTTTGCTCATCAGCACTACTAGCTTATACCAGATTGATGATATGAAAAGAATGAACAAATTGCTCAAGCAAGTTAGTTTTTCATGTCAAGAGTGGAATGTAGGGCAAGGTGAATACTACTTTCTGAGCATGACATAGACAAGATTGAGCCCCTGCTCCCCAAAGCACTGAAAAATGTCGAGTTCAACAAATTCAAACAAAAAAAAGAGGGAACTTTAAGGAATGACATAAATATAACCAAATTCCTTCACTTCCAATGAATGGAAAATTAATGTGGAGCAAGGAATTTTAGCCTTGAATGGATCCAATTTCAGGAAAAAAAAAAAAAAAAAAGCCCAGGAGAAAAGAAACATCACGACTGCCCACTCTACCCTACCTCCTTTGGTATTTGGTGCTACTATCTGTGAAATAGACATTCCCTTCCTCATCCATGTCTAGATCATTGGTAAATCTTAATGGCACTCCTTCTGCTTCGGTTGCCAGTGATGTTGCCAGTCCACCTTCAGGCCCTACCTTCAACAGCCCAAGATATGCATCTGCAATGTACAAATCACCTGTTTTCTTGTCGAACCGAAGCCCCAAAGGCCGGCCACAAATGTGCTCGACCTTTAAGTAACTTAAAGGTGATGGTTTTGGATCACATAATTCAGACCTAAATCCAACAAAGATAGCTATCACATTAGATAATTGAAACACAAGAATCCAGAAAACACATTATATTTTTTGAAAGAAAATTGGGAAAAAAAAAAAAGCAAGTATATGGTTCTGGGCTGCCGAGAAATTGATCTAAATGGGGTCACAAATTAGCTATTTACTCTAATCAACTACAGCGACTACACACTAAAGAGTCATTAGAAATGTCTAGTTCAATCCAAAGAGGGTACAAATTCATTTTTTAATAGGCAAAATCTATAACATCATATAATTACCCTGACAATGATCAATATTGTACAGCTGATATCTTGGCAATAAATCCAGAGACAAATGATGTCATTTGTTAGTTTTTTAATGGCATAGATACATGTAACAAAACATGCATAAAGGGCTTATTTTATTTTATTTTATTTTTTTTGTCCGGGTATATAATTTATGCATAGTCCTAGCAGCATAAAACCATGATAAAGAGTTTTTCTTTTTTTTTTTTTTTTAGGGTGCAATACAAAATTCCAACTCAAAAAAATTGTAATGAATTGTCATAGACCATTCTTCTATTCCAATTCCACACCAGTTATTTTGTCCTTATCATATAATTCAATCCACTTCGACCAAAATCTTCTTTTAATAATCACAAAATTTAAGCACAAACAAAAACTCATCAAACTAACGAAAAATCCAAAAACCCATTTCCAAAATCTCAATTCTCACCTATTGGACGAAGTGTAGGCGAAATCAGTCCAAGAGCGACCATTCCAGAACAAAATTCTGCCATCGGCGACACCAGTGTAGGGCCCACGGCCAAGGGGATCGAAGGCGACGCTCTCCGGGCCTTGGACTTGGTTAAGGAACTTGATTTCCGATCTCTGGAGCAAATTCTCGCGGTCTCTCTCCTTCGGAAGATCAGACCATGGAGAAAGCTCGATCTTGTACGTCTCGAAGTCGGGGAAATCCGAGATGGCGCTGTGTTTGAATGGGTCTGTTGCGCAGTACAGGGCTAAAAGGAGGACGGCCAAGGTCAGAGCCCCTGAAAGAGTCATCCCGGCGGCGAGTTTTCCGGCTCTTGAAAGTTTTTAAGGTTTTTGGGTAAATGTCCCCACTTTTGAAACTTCAAACTTTCGAAAGTATCAGTATATATGTGTGTATATATATATATATATACACACACACACATGCACGTTTGCTATATCTACTACTGGTGGGGTGAGGTACTGAGTAGGTGGGGTAGGTGTGCAGTGTGCACATTTTTGGTGGCTGGTAGAAGCAAAGTGTTTTTGTTATTGATCTTTATTTTATGAGTTTTTTTTTTTTTTTTTTTTTTTTTTAAATTTGTTGAAGATGGGTTGTGTTATTTTATTTTATTTTTCCTCAAAGTTGAAAATGGATGTCTGCTTGGTAGAGTGGTTGATTTGAATCAAATATGTTGATGAGAAAAATTCAAAACAAAAGGGAAAATTCTGTGGTACGATATTAAAAAGGTTATTATTATTATTATTATTATTTGTATAGAAAGAATATCAAAGGCTTTGGCTATATAAAAAAACCTCAACGTTCTTTACATTTTTATAATTTAAATTTTTTTATTATTTTTCTTATTTCTTAAAAGGCGCTTAGGACTTTCTCATGATCAAAACTTACTTTTAAAATTAAAAAATTAAACAAATCATATTGCTTTTAAAAAAACAAAAAGAAGAGAGGAATTTTTTTTTTAAATATAGTTCGGCTATATTTGTTTCACAACTCAAATTCTAAACTTGAGTAGAAAAATACTGTAATAAAAAAGTTAAATTTAAATTTTTATGAGAAAAAATACTATACAGTAAATCTTGAGTTGTGAAAATATTTTTCTTTTTTCTTGTTTTGATTTTCAAAAAAAAATAGTTGATTTATTTAATTTTTAATTTTTTAAATTCGTGTTATATATTTATTTTTATTAGTTTTAATATTTAATTAGAAATTAATATGTTTAATTAATTTTCAGTGGCATGCCACATCAATAAAACTATTATTTTATTATTATTTGTTATAGATTCGGGGGCATTTAATCAGTTTTAATAGATCAGGAGATATTTTTAAATATGGTACATAGTTTGAAGGACATTTATTAAAATAATATATCAAATTACCTCTCTAATAATTGTCACGTCATCAAATCTGTTAAAAAAACTAACAGAAAGAGCAAAGTTGATAACGTTTCAAAATTTAGGAGTTGCACATACTAATTTTTAAAATTCAAAAGATAAAGTGACAAAAAGATCAAAATTCAGATGACAAAAATAAAATTTATCCAATAAAAAACTTGGAAGAATAACAAAGCCTGTAATCAGAAGAAAAGAGTGGTAAGAATAACATTGATTAGGCAACAAAATTTCTAAAAGACTTGCGGAACAACACTATAATTAGGGCTGACAATTCGTGTTTACGTGTCGTGTTCGGGCTGACACGATTACTGCACGACACGATTATAGCAAACACGAACACGAACACGATACGATTAATAAACGTGTTAGAAATCCAAACACAAACTGCTAATAACACGGTTAACATGACACGACACGCGAACACGATTACTAAACGGGCCGTGATGAGTCAACACGAAAAAAAACACGTTTATGACCCAATTAGCAAAAATAGTGAAATTTTATATTGTATTCAAAACTAATATTAATTGACTACTTAATATCACTTATAGTTAAAATCATGCGAGCATATAATAAGAAAAACATAAATCTTCCAATTCTCCATAATAACTAACACACATAAAAATATGCAAATATCAAACATATATATGTCTTTTTTGAGGTTGAATGCCCAATGACGCTCCAAAGATCAAAATTAGTTTACAGTTGCTTTAACTTATTCACATAAAAAGAAAACATTTTATTAATAAAAAGAAAATTTATAGTATGGGCATGCCACAAGGAAATTCATGTTACCTTCCATTACATTTAAGGTGTTGAAGTTGTGAGAATTTTGAGATGAACCAGAAATGAGCTCATTAATATCCAAAGTCAAAACATCTTCAGTAATTTTATCCACAGCTTCACGAATCGATTTGTTATTTTCTATACATAATAGATAACTTATATGGTTAATACTTAAGATAACATAAGGTAAGACAGTAAATAAAAAAATAATAAATATACATTTATCTCCAAATAGTTGATCCCTAGTACAAACCAATACCTCAACTACGACAGCTTTAAATGAACTCCTATATTGATCCAATACTCGTCCTCCAACACTAAAGGCAGATGCAGATGTTACAGTGGATATTGGGATACTTAAGATATTGCTACAATGGAGTTGTCTGCAGACCTAGCGAACAAGCGGCGGTGGAGCACTTTGGAGAAGAGATAACGGTGGGTGAGAGAATGAGAGAAAGAGAAGTAGGGCGAGGGGAAGGACCGAAGGAGGGATTTTCTCTAAAAAAATATATATTATATGTATATATAAACTTGCTTAATAAACGGGCCGGGCCGGGCCGTGTCGGTCCGATAACAGTTCGTATAACTAAACGGTGTTAAACGGGCTGACACGAATCCAGCCCATTTATTTTCGTATTATTCGTGTCAGTCCATTAACGACCCAATTAATAATCGTGCAGTCTAAATTCATTTATCTCGTGTTGTTTTCGTATCGTTTCATCGTGTCGTGTCCGAAATTGCCGGCCTTAACTACAATATGCACACCTACTCCGCATCTATACATAGAAAAGGAGTGGGATTTTGGAGTGGTAGTTAGCTTCTTTTTTTTTTTTTTTTTTTGGGTACTTTCCACTTCCCTTCTTGCGTATGATTGTTGCTTCTTAGTTCTTGTGCATCAAGGCTGACGATGAACATTCTGGGGAGCAAACATCAAAAAATAGTTGATAATGAACATTCTAAACATTTAACAATATTAAATTCATACCAGAGTTAATGATATAGACTTTTAGAAAAATTTGACAAAAGATTTGTAAACGAATTATTATGAGAATGCTCGTCGATAAAAACCGTACGTAAACTTTCAAAGATTCTCATACATGTACGTAGGCTTGATGTTGCGAAGGTGGAGCTTGTAGATGGATTCTCAAGCAGTTTTTTTATTATTTTTATTTTCTTTAATGATGTAATACATATAGGCATGTTATTGATAAATGAATGCGTTTTTCTTTCCTATTTATTCGCGTGTTTGCTTATAAAGTTAGGAATAAGAAGTTATTTCCCCCCACTCCCCCGCGAAAAACAAAATATCAATAGATAACTTTCATACTTGATATTGTTTCCCCTTTTAATTGAATAAATATCAAATTTATTTATGGGATATTTATATCTTTATATTCTGTATTTTGAGTCTATTCAAAAACTATACTTTCAGTTTTCGATCTAATGATTAAATTTATTATATAAATCTATATTTTATCTTAGTCACAACTGATTTTAACTTTTAAAATGACGAAAAAGAGAAAAAAAATTAAAACTTTATAATATACAAAAAATAAAAAAAAACACTTATTTCAAGGGCACTGTAGGTTTAATTCTTTTTTTTTAAATTTTTTTTCACTTACCGTTTTTTATTGAAGAATATTTTAAGTATTTTTAAAATTGAAATCAAGAGTTGACTGTAAAAAGGCATAGATTATGTATTAAATTTAATTTATAGATATATATTTAATTAGATTAAAATTTAAAAGTATGGTTTTTAAATAAGCCCCGTTCACTTCGCTGATTCGAATTTACAATTCAAGTTTTTCTACAGTAAAAAGCTCTTACAAACAATCACATCTAATTTTTTTGCTACAGTAAAAAGCTCTCACATAAAGTCACATCTCAACTCGAATTAGAGAAGTTAACGGGAACACAGGATATAAAACAGTAAATATCTCTTTATTTATTTAGCCTTACCAAGCCAATGATTATTTAACTATACATAAAGACATTTTGATAATTAAATTATAAAATCAACTAAACAATCCGTAAGTTTAATATATAAACAGTACCATAACGGTAGTTAGATTGTTAATTTCAAACTCACACTTCCCAATAAATAAGTAAACCTTCAAAAAGAATCAATGATACTTCTTTTTATTCATTTTCTTTCTTTTTAAAATATATGCTACCTTTCCAATTACATTTCATTCCGGCTCGATAAAAATACTCATGTTTAACTATACAATGATAAAAGCACAAAATATAAAAACAAATTCAACAAAGAAGAATTTAGCCAAAACAAAAAACAATCAACAAAGAAGAAAAAGAAAACAAGGGGTATATTTATTGAAAGTCTACAAACTAGTAATCAATGAATCTAACGAGAACCACATACAAATACATATACATACATACATATATATATATATACACACACTGAAATTAAGACCATTATGTGAAAACTATTGGGTGTGTTTGGAACTCATTCTAAAATAATTTTATTTTTCATATGAAAATAGAAATAAAAACATTTTCAATCTCAGACAGAAATTATTTTTGAAAATGCGTTTAGTAATTTTGTCAAGAGATTGTTTTCAGTATAAAAAAATCTATTAATGTCTCTCTCTCTACTCGAGAGAGGAGAAAACAGAAATAAAAAATGAAAAACGACTAAAAGTCATTTTTCATTTCTCTCTCATTTTACACTAAACTAAGAAATCGTTTTCATTTCCGTTTTTTATTTTTAATTGTGTCAAACACCGTTTCTCTTCCGTTTTCATTTTTTCTTTCTCAAAAAACGTGAAAAATAAAAACAAAAACAACTCCAAACACAGTCATTATATTCTTACTTTAATCCAAATTATACACTGCAATGGAAGGGAAAAGACTCCCTATCCACAGTTCCCCATCTCTCTCGGCTACTTCGCTAAGTGGATGTTTAATTTATGAATTCAGAACTACGATTCAGAATCATTCTCGATTTACGTGTGTTTTTTATAAGAGAAAATACTGTAACGAGATATAAATCATGATTCGAATGATTATACGAATTCTCATACTAAACACCCCATAACTGATTTGACATATTTACCCCATTTGTCCTCTAATATTTTCAAAATCTTACCAACTGGGCTGTACTTGACAATATTTTCATAACTGATGAATGTGGGCAGAGATTGGGAGTACGATGTTCCTCATTTTTGGGTGAAAACCAGAAAGATGA